CAACTCCTCCTGTGCCTGCTGGAAAATCATAACAGTCGACTAAACAAAAGGAGAAAGAACCCCAACACAAGGAAGTCCAGATTCCGAAGCAGTCTCGTTTCAATTGACCGATTGGAAGAGATAAACCGGAAAGTTCGAACGTTCCATATCGTTTCGACGTCATGGCTCAGTTAGCCAATATCCCAGCAAGGATCATGCTATACAAATCACTGCACCTTTCAAAAGATACCAGGGAAGCTTTGCAAGAAGCTTTGGCTGATTCTGAGGTATTTCTCACTTAGATTAAGCTAACCTCTGAAGGGCCGAAATCATCAGTTCAGCACTATAACTTGACAGGCACAAAATTTCCTTACATTTTTTTACCAAAGAGGATATGCAAGTCAAGAATTCGAAGCATGATAGGCCTTTATACTTCACCGGATATATTAGCTCAAGCGTTGTCAACCGGATCCAAGTTGACCCGGGTTCCGCTGTCAGTATCATGCCACTTCGGTTGATGTACCACCTTGGGATTCCCGCCAACAAGTTAGCCTCCACGGAAACTGTTATTTATGGATTCAACACCAGTGGGTCTAGGCCATTGGGAAAAATCCGGGTGAAGTATCAACTCGGAGACTTAAAGTCAGAAGTCAATTGCTATATGATTGATGTAGAGACTTCTTATAACTTGCTATTAGGTCACCCTTATATCCACAGTAATCTTATTGTTCCCTCCACCCTCCATCAGTGTCTGAAATATGTTGACACTAATAACGATGTCAAGACGGTGATCGCGGATAAGCAACCATTTAAGGAGTTAAAAAATTACTTTACTGACTCCCTTCTTTATGGTACCGAATCAGATACTGAACCATCGGTCCACGGTACGGACAGCGGAGAATAAGCTGATACCGCAGCTAGGCTCGATTATAGTGAAGCTCTTGCATTAAATGACATTGAACCTCTTGTAATCGATCTTGACGGTGGTGAATCGTCGGATAAAAGTTGTAACTAGCAACTTGTCGATGAAATAATAAATGATGATTTAGAGTATTCGCATTGTCTTGATAATATAATGCAAGAATTATATGATAACACTGGCATACACATGCCACTTCGTTCGTCTTGTACGACGAAGAAGTGCATCCAGGATTCCTTCAGAACGACTTTAATCCTACCTGCGAAGACAGAGGGTGAAAAAGAAATAATCTTTGGTAAAGGAGAGTCATCCCCGCCTGCCGATCTGTTCTTGGAAACCAATACTGATGATGAAGAGCCCGGACGGCATTTCTTCAGATATAGCTCACAAGCAAATGACTACATGAAGAAGCAAGGATATGACCTCACGCTCGGTGAAGGTCTTCATTTCGGTCAAGGTACCTGGGTACCACCCCGTCCTACCTATGTACCGAAAGGAAAACCTGATAATTATTACAGCCACAAAAGAGGTTTGGATTATATCTCATCGTCTGATGACGAATGTTACCGACAAATCATCAACCAGCTGACAAATAAAAATGGGTACTCGTCCGATTCCTCAGATTAGAATTCTGACATTAGCATTGGAGAAATGTTCAAAGGCTTAATGTCAAACATGGCCATAGTCGATTCTTCTACAACAAAAGAAGATGATCAATTAGCCACTTGGGAAGATCCCTGGATGCATTACATGAACATTCAATATGGTAATCGATTCGAACAGAGAGAACCCCCTACTGAGGATAAGATAGTCCAGGTCAATATAGGTGATGAAATCAATTTGAAACCTATATTTATTAGCGATAGTCTTCCATCAGATGAGAAGGAAGAATTGATCGCCCTCATTAGAGAGTATATCGATATTTTCGCTTGGAATTGCGAAGATATGTCGGGATTGGATCCAAATGTGGTAATGCATAGACGTAACATTAAACCGGATGTCAAACCTGTCAAACAGTAACAAAGATGGTTTCGTCCACAAATTATGGAGGTGATAGAAACTGAATTCAAGAAATTAATTGATTCAGGCTTCGTTAGAGAAGAACATCCTGACTGGTTGGCAAATATCATTCCAGTTCTCAAAAAAATGGAAAAAATTAGAATTTGCATCGACTTTAGGGATTTGAACACTGCGTGTCCTAAAGACAACTTCCCTCTACCAATTATAGATGTCATCATTAACAACACATGCGGATTCGAGAGAATGTCATTTATGGACGGATTTTTAGGATATAATCAGATTAAGATGTACCCGGATGATGAAAAACATACCGCATTCAGAATACCCCTTGGTGTCTTCTGTTATACTGTTATGCCTTTTGGTTTGAAGAACGCTGGCGCTACTTATCAACGGGCGATGACAAAGATTTTCCAGGAATACCTTCGGAAAACCGTCGAATGTTGTGTTGATGACTTGGTTGTTAAGAGTCGCGACAAAAACAATCACATTAGCGACTTAAAAACGATGTTCGATCTTATGAGGAGTCATCAACTAAAAATGAATCCGACTAAATCTTTTCTCGGAATGTCCAGTGACAAATTCCTTAGATTCATTGTCACCACAAAAGGTATCCAAATTGATTTCGACAAAGTGAAAGCGATACACGAACTACAACCACTGAGAAATCTTAAAGAGCTCAGAGGGTTGCAAGGGTGGTTAGCTTATATTCGTTGGTTCATATCAAATCTTTTAGGAAAATGTCAACCATTCTCTAAGCTCACCAAGAAAGGCGTGTCATTCATTTGGGATGAAGCTTGTTAAAAAGCATTCGAGGATATCAAAACATATATAGCGAATCCACCTATTCTCGTTGCACCGAATTTGGGAAAACTATTTTTGATTTATGTTAAAGCGACTAGCCATTCGTTGAGTGCATTACTTGCACAAGGCGACGATAACGGTCACGAGCAAGCGGTATATTATTTAAGTCATACACTGGTAGGGGCTGAATCTCGATATCCGATGATTGAGAAAGAATGTCTCTCCTTAGTGTTCATAATTCAAAAAATGTGACATTACCTGGTTGGGCAAACAATTTATGTTATCTCCAATGTGAACCCAATCCGGGTATTCATGACCAAACCGGCTTCCATGAATTGACGTTTAGCTAAGTGGGTCTTGCTTTTGTCTTAATATGATTTGCATTTCAAACAGCAAAAGTCAGTTAAGGGACAAACGATTTGTGATCTTTTGACGGTTAATCCTACAAAAGATACAGCAGAATTATATGATGACTTGCCGGATGAAACTCACGAAGTTAACACCACATCACATCAACAAGTGTGGTAATTATACTTCGATGGTGCTTCCCGGACAATCAACGTGGCAAGCACTCCCGGATGTTGTAAGATTTCCTCAGGAGTGGGGGTTGTCTTGGTTTCCCCGGGAAAACACGTAATGCCTAGAGTGTATTCGTTGACTGAACCATGCTCTAATAATGTATCTGAATATAACACACTAATAATTGGACTTCATTTCGCTAAAGAGTTGGGGGATGAATACCTTGAAGCCTTTGGTGATTCTCAGCTGGTAGTCAATCAAGTTCGAGGAGAATATGAAGTCAGAAGCTAATGTTCAGCTTGACTGCTTGAAGCCTTTGGTGAAAATATACATACATACATACATACATATATACATACATATGTATATATATTCGTTGAGTGCATTACTTGCACAAGGCGACGATAACGGTCAGAAGCTAATGTAGTTTTTGTATTTTCATCTGTTTTTGTAATGGTAAGCATGTGCAGCTGGTCCTTGGTGGTTTTAATTAATGTGCGTTTTGTTTTGTAAAAGCGAATTTTGGATGTAATAGTTAAGTTTTATCTGCAGACTGCAGTTTTTGCCCAAGGAAACTGTGCCATGGTGGTGATTTCAAATGCTTCGATATGTTTGAAACAGAGTTTTTTTGTATTTGGATATGAGAATAGGATGTGGGTAACTCCTCATGCTGTTCATTTGTGTAGTTAGTAGTGGTCTTCTCAAATATTATTCAGTGTTTTAGCAAAAAGAGAAGGGACCGCAGCTTCTCTGCTCACAAGATTTTTCCCAATCATGGCATGGAGGGTAAATTTGAGTGTAATTAGAAGAGACCGCGGTTTCTCTTATCATAAAGTTTTTTTTAGGGGAACTTAGCATAACAATATCGCCTGGGAAATAGTTTGTAGACCAAATCTGCAACCCTTACGAATTAAATGTTGAAATAGGTTCATTAAGAAAATACGCCACAGTCTGATTACTGCAAGATGTCGCAAAGATGTAATTCATAAAAATAAACTTAGATTGCCGGAACTTGTTTGTTTACGTGAACAGGAATGTAACATGATATCAACTGCACTTTTTTGTTTCTTGAACTAGGGGTAGTTTTGCCCTTCTAATTATTATTTAACGGACTCTTTAATGGAGAGTTTGAAAAAGGACTAAGTGTACATCTAATAGTGGGTTTAATGACAAAATAGAAAAAAAAAAAAAAGTGGAAGAACCGGTTCAAGTATGAAGCCCTACTATAGAGACCGAGTTGGTCTCTTAGCCAATTGAGAAAAAAATTAAAGTACCGGACCAATTTAAGTATGAAGATTTATTGCAAGGAAAGAACAAGAACCAATCGGAGTACGAAGCCCCGGTACTGAGACCAAATCGGCATTTAGCTAGAAAAATGATTATAAACTTAGAAAGCATTTATAAATAAAAAAAAATTGGGGATTAAACTAAAACTGCGTACGCCGTCCTAACTCAGACCGACTGTGATAAACAAATCAAGCGGTGTAGCTTACGGGCTTTACATGTTGCAAGCACAAAACGCATCTTTTAATTCATCTCTTTAAAAGTTGATTTCTTTTCATCTAAAGTAGAAACTCAAAAAGAGGTCACAACAAGTCACAAAGTGCTCTTCAACTGTTCGATAAAAAGCCCATACAAGAACTCTCAAAAGCAGGTCCAAGACATTTACACTTGCAAGAGATACGGTTAATGTTTGGCCCTTCTAAATTTTGAATAATGAAATTAAGAATGAAAAAATTACCAACAAGCACACGGTTGAATATCAGTGCAAATGAAACCTTGTCATCAGTTTGGAAAATTATAAAGCTAAAGGACTCCAACAAAGATAATTATTTGTTAACAAGTCTTAATGCACCAACAAACTTTTTATTTTCTTATTCACATTGCTATTCCATTTCACCGCGGAATTGAGGGTACATATAAATCCCCATTTCTTGATTAATGAAAGAGAATTAGGTCGACGGTCGGACCTCCCACTCGCCGCCGGCTACCGCAGACGAATCCTTCAAAATTGGAGCGAAAGTTGTGGACTTCTTGCTAGCTCGCATCGTCTTCTTTGAGTTGATGAAGATGTGGAGATCTCTGTAAAGGGTCTCAAAGAAGGGAGAAAAGATGTCATTTTTGCAGGAGGAAATTGGGAATAGCGGAGGGGAGAAGGAAGAAATAAAGAATAAAAGAAGATTTTTTATGGCGGAGAGTGAGCCTTCGTTTGATTGAGACCAGCTGGAGGTGATTTTTACAAAAAACACCCTGCAGCTCGCGCAAAGGATTAAGTGCGCACGCATTGATCCGTATATATATGAATACTCTCTCTTATATATGTATAATGTATGTATGTATGTATATATATATTATCATATATATACTATATATTATACGTATATATACTATATATATATTATACATATATGGGACAGAAATGTCCTAAGATGACGCTTAGATAATCATCTAAAAACGCGGGCTAAATCACATGTTGAGCTATATTATAGGATGATCCACAGTGTGTTTGAGTTCTAGAATATGTAGATTTAAGTTCCAAGACGAAGCGATTATCCGACAATTAGCTCAATCATGTTGACATACTTAGGCTCATGCGTTCTTAGATTGATAAATCTAGGGAGGCGCTACATGGCTAGGAACACTTCTCGGGGGCCACCCTATATATATATATAATATATACTATATGAGATATAGGTATATAATATCATGGGTTAGGTATTATTAAATATATATATATATATATATAATATTATGAGTATATATCAATATATATATCTTATATATTCTATATATATATAGCTAGTATGATATAATACTATATTGATAATACTCGCTATATATCATTATATATGGTAACTGCCTACTATATATCATATATATCCATAATATATATATATATATATATCATATATATATATTATATATATATATATATATATATATATATATATAGGGCGGGTTCTGGCCCAGCATTTTAGGGACTGTGCGAAAAGTAAACACATGGCCCTTCTCTATATACAAAATATCAATAAATTTCAATTTGAATCCCTAAAATGCTAGGGAACAAAATGCTACTAATCAGACATTAAAATGTTACCTAGTTTTTTTGCATCTGGATAGTCTTTAACATACTTCTCAAGTGCTATTATCCATTATTCATCTCTTTGGTCACCTGAATAAAATGTTACTAATCAGATAAATGCATGTAATCATACCTTAATAAAGCTTTCCAATAGAGCAAATAGTCCACAATAAGAAATACTGGTATATTATATTCCTCTTATATCTGTGCTTACCTTCATCAAATATCAATGCCTTTAGCATCAAAAAGTATCATCGAAAAATTGTCCTCCTTGTATTTTTAGCTGCAAAATCACTAATTAAGCCTTTAACATCAATTTTATCTATAAAATCATTTTCAATGGATATCAAAGCTCGTCCACTTAGTTTTTCTTGTGACATTGTCGATCTCGGATAAGTTTTTAATAATTTTAATTTTGAAAAACTTCTTTCTGCAGATACAACTGAAACATGTATAGTCAATAATATTCTATAAGCAATACATGCATTTAGAAAATAATTTTGTAGTAACTTCTGTCTCCGACCTTGACTTCACGGGAACCTTGGAACTTACATGTGGACTTCAAAAAAAAGGAACGAAGAACGCCTGCTAAATTAATAAAAAAAAGAATATTTATTATCAAACAAATTCGTCTATCTATGAAAAAAGACGAAAAACATATTATATATCAAACCCTAGGTGTTTCATTAGTTGATAAGAATAAGCGCCAAACTAATAAAAAATACATAATAAAAATTAGATATGTTGATAAAAAAATTTTGATGGTTTTTAAGAAATTCAGTATATCAATAGTCATCTTTGTTTCTTTCGGTAAAATATTTCGTAAGATTTTTAGTTCTCCAAATAAACCTTTCCCATCATGATCAGAAAATATTTATATTTTAGAAAAATTTCAAGATTATCACAACCTGCTTTTAAATTATTATCATCTAATGAATTTAACTTTTCTGAACAAAACAAAAATCCAAAAATATCTTAATATGCTTTATATTTCTCAAACCTTTTCTTTAGTGAACCAATAGCTTGATCTACAATATACAAAAAATAATTAATTCTAAAAGATTCTTCAGTTGATTGTGTTATCTCCTCATTAACATTCTCATCAAATTGTCTTTTTCTACAGATTTGACGTTTTACTTAAAATACAGAATCAATTTCTATTTCAGTAGCAATTTTTTTAGCAATTGTCATAGCTTGTGTGAGCCCAACTTCTCTATAACCCTCAAAAAACCTAATCAATCTATTTACTTGATCTATAGCAATATCAATAAACATGTCCTTAGATTGTAAAGATTTGCAAATTAAGTTAACAGCAAACAATATATTGTACCAAATAATCATACTTAATAAAAATTTAAAATTTCCATTTCCATGTGTTGCTAAAGAATCTGCTTCACTTCTTATTTTGGAGCCATTATCAGTTTCTGCTAACTGAAGTAGTGCTTCTCTTATTACAAGCGTTTGGAATCTAATTGCTTTAATGCTTTTAATATGGCTTTCCCAACGTGTAGCCGACAATGGCTTCACAGTTAAACCTTTTATATTATTTATCAAAATTTATCATCGCTTTGTTGAGTGAGAAAATAATGTATAAATGCATTATATCACTCTGAAAAAGTATTTTTCTTTACCACAATAATTTTCCATATCACAAAGTGTTAAATTACGACTATGACAACCATAAGGCATGTATAATGCTCTAGGATTTATATCAAGTAATTTTTTTGTACACCTTAGTGTCTCCCTTTCATTTAGATTCATTATCATACCCTTGACCTCGTACATTATCACTATCAAGATTAAGAGTTTTTAGCACATTTTGCAATTCTTCAAAAAGTCTTTGTCCAGATGTATCATTTACTTTTAAAAATTCTACAAAACATTCTTCTATTTTTATCATTGTAGGCGTATAAAATTGCTTATAGGTCCCTTAGCATAGCTCGGCACAAACCGACGAACCAACGAGGCGACGAGGTTGACGAATCGCACGTAAGCAACGGAATACATCCATTCGCGTGCGGAATCAAGCCAACGGTTCGGGGAGTCAACGAGTCATCCAAACAAGAGCGGACTCGGATGAATCACGACCGAATCAAGGTCGGTTTCGGACTCGAACTCAGAATCGGATTTACTGCCAAAACAGGAATCGGATTTACTGCCAAATCAGAGTCTACGTCAACCAAAACGGGAACAACGACAAAACGACGGAACCCAAACACCCTGAGGGGCTCGGCC